CCTTCCCTAAAACCCTCTCAGAAATGAGGGGAGGCCTGTGCCCAGTAGTGGGACGTATATATGCTGTAATTTACTTTACTTTTACTTTATATGTCTCATTGCTGGACACAGGCTCGTTTCTGAGTGGGTCATAGAACAGTTAGTCTGCCACACTTCTTCACCATTTATATCATATAAAATCATTCTTATGAAGTGTATGTGTATATATAAAGATGTACCGTAAAAGCCAAGTGAAGTTATAGCGTATATATGTCTCACCGCTGGGCATACACTAGTATTTGAGAGGGTTAAGGAGCAGTTAGTCAGCCATGCTGCTTCAATGCATGGTCTCGATTATAGGTTATAAAACTGTATTAATCCACTTGCAGTAAATGGGGAAAGTAAAAAAACTTGAACGATGGGTAATTCATGAATTGAGTGAATCGAACTTGCAAACACGCGTCGACTGCTGTGTTACTTTGCTCAACCGACAATGAAGAGATTTTAAATCGAATCATTACTTGTTATGAAAAGTGGATACTGTACTATACTTGGAAGCGCTCGTCGCAATGGGTGAACCCTGGAGACCCAGCCAAATCCTGTCCTAAACGAAAATTGACTCAGAAAAGGTTACTTCTGAGTGTTTGGTGGACTACCGCCGGTGTCGTTCACTACAGCTTTCTAAAATCTGGCCAAACGATTACGGCAGATATCTTATGTCAGCCACTGCAAACCATGAAGGGAGAACTAGCTGCTAAACAACCGAGATTGGTCAATCGCTCTAGACCACTGCTGCTTCACGACAACGCAAGACCACACACTGCACAACAAACAACCACTAAGTTAGATGAGCTACAATTGGAATGTCTGCGATATCCACCGTACTCCCTGGACCTTGCTTCAATAAATTACTATTTTTTCCGGAATTTGAACAACTTCTTACAAGGTAAAAATTCAACTCCGATGCGGCAGTCCAAACCGCCTTCAAAGAGTTTATTGATTCTCGCCCCCATGGTTTTTTTCTAGTAAAGGGATCAATGAACTACCTATGAGATGGCAAAAGAGCATAGATAACAACGGTGCATACTTTGATTAATTAAATATATTTTACAAAAATAATTGACTTTATATTCCTCCGTAGAAACGTCAATTTCGTATGTAAGGACCTAATAATAAAGGGTCAAAAGGACGTTGCTTTATCGACGTCACTTTAACAGTTGATATTATATAATGATTTCTTATATTTACGCGAACACTACATAACATAAACACTCACGCCTGTCACCCAGAGGGGTAGGCAGAGACTACAGACTTCCATTTGGCACGATCCTGACACACCTCTCTCGCCTCCTTCACATCCATACACCTACGCATACATGCTCGTCGGTTAAGGTTACTCCTAATTTGGCCCGTTTTCAATAAATGAGATCTTGCAGTGGTATGCTTGGGTTTAGTTTTAATTTTATTGATTATAGGATATTGATTATAGGTACCCAGCCTCCTTCTCTATTAAAATTTCAATAGAGAAGGAGGCTGGGTACTACCACCTGCTTGGGATCCTATAATCGAAAAAATTAAAACTAAACCCATACTATATGATACTTGATGCCTCCGAGACATCAAGGGAACCAGCAAGTGCTTCCCCACTTTTCTAGAGTGTCTCGCCCCATACGTGTGTGGCTGAAGATCCCCAGCTGACCGATTTCAGCGAAAACCGTATTTCCGGTCACTAAGGAGGTCATTCTGTTCTAAATATGCCATTAAGCGGGCGTTCAATATACGCTCCATAATCTTGCAGAGTATTGAGGTAGTTATAATTGGCCGATAGTTGGCAGGGTCGGCACGGCTACTTCTTTTAGGCACAGGCTGCACATTGGTCAGCTTCCAGGATTTAGGCACTATTCCAGTCCTGAATGAGAGTCGGAACAAGTGCGTCACCACAGGAGACAACTCAGGTGCACAGACCTTTAGAACTATAGCTGGTATACCATCAGGTCCACTAGCTTTGTTCGCGCCTATACATTGCAAGGTTTTAATAACCTCCTTGTGGGTGATACGGACCTCTGACATAGAGGTACCGTAGTGAGGTAATTGAGATGGTACGCTGTTGCCACTGTCCAGACCGTGAATTGCAAGCAACATAGTCAGTTCATTGCTGTGGCCGATAGGCACCTACATTATCCGCAATTGATAATTTTAACGCAGATGCGTTAAAATAACGAATGATGGTGACGATTTAATAAATCACTGTGTTCCGATCGAATACATCCACGGCTTTTAGATCCAAACAAATAGTATAGCTTTCACTGTGCATTAGTCTTTTATCGTTCCACTCGTCGCGCTTTTAGTTGAGAAAACAGTGCGCCGGTGAAGGGTTTTTAAGAAATGGGATACCGCACCGTTTCACAGTCGCGATTTTTCGCTGTTTGCCGAACCTGGGACAATGTCACGGGTGTGAAGAGCGTGCTCTCCAACAGTAATGGGCACGTTCGCCACTTGAACCTCGCGCCCCTATCAAATATTCTTGCGACAGGAAGTAATATGCGCGACATAAGTGTTTTGCACTCCTTAAAATTTTCAATGAAGATTTTATGTTTTGTATACCGATTTATATAGCTGTCATATTTTTTTCTATACTTAAACAAGTAGGTATTACAATATCAATACTTAAAGCACTGTGGGTACTAACTTGTTGTTTTTGTCATGACTGACATATCCAAATTTCTAATTCCAAAATTATTTATCTGTTTAATAAGGCAAAATCACATTTCTAAATGGCCCATGCTACACGTCGAGTTAACCAAACGATAATTTAATAAGGGATAAGCATCGTCTAGAATATATATTTAGTCAACATTGCATTATTTATTATTGCATGACGTCTTATTTGAAGCATAGTTTACGGGATTTGGGAAACACGAAACAGCTACAATTGTTGCACATACCTATGATAAACACAAAAGAAATCTATGAATGTGTTGGTACACATCGCATACAGGCGCACCGATGTGTGCTTAAAGCTTCGTCTAAAATTGAGATCTAGGTGCCACATAGTTACTCCCACCGTTAAGCCACTTACGGCTTTTAGGGCTTAATGACGTAATATAAGTTCAACTAAGTATTTATTATAAAAGCCTTTAATATGCTCCCGACTCTTTAGGGTCACAGCTGCAGCGAGTGCTTTTTCATGTACACACGGTAACGGCTCGCATAACGCGATATTATGTTACATCATAAACTACTAGTTTTTCTGTTATGATGTATAAAAGAAATAGTTTTGTACACAAATTAGATGAGGAGCAAAATCGGGTGTTAACAAAAAGTGCTCTCGTTATGTGGCCCCTGGATTACGTATCTAATGATTATTCGCTGGATATCCATGACTTTTTCTGCCATCAGGGCGGCACCACTTAAAAATGAGGTGTAGTATTTGATAACTTCATATTGGGGAAGTTAAAACGTTTGAACAATGTAAAATTTAGTATTTCTTTATGATAGTTATATTTTATATTACTTAGAATAAAAAAAAAAACAAAAATAAAAAAGAGTTAACAATGTGCAAATAGTTAAAGAGCAAACAACTGAAGATTTGTTCTGTTCGAAAAATGTAAAATTTAATATTTTTTTTATGTACTATTTTAGTCATATTTTATATTAATTTACCGAATACTTTAGGAACCGATAAACTTTTATTTAAAACTGCTCTACTAACTTCTCAATTAAATTAAATTTTGTAACAAAAAAAACTTCAGTTCAATGTCAACTAGCGACCTCTGGTGAACGGAATATTACTAGGCCTCATTGGAAGTGGAAATAAGCACCCTGGTTAAATGTCGCTGATATTGAGCACTGACGCTCCGGGAAGTCTGCAATATGTCGATATGTTCAAGATCATCCCAACCATTATATCATACAAAACAGACCATGCGAGAATTTCTGATATTTCGCAAAAGAACACCGATTCGTACTAAGGCTACTGAAATAAAAAATATACTAACTTCAATAGAGAAGGTAGCTAGGTGTTACCATCTGCTTCATCATCATCATTACAACCCTTCACAAGTCCATTGCTGAACATAGGCCTTCCCCAAGGAATGCCACAAATTACATTCCTGAGCCACCCGCATCCGTCGACTTCCTGCATGTCTTACCAGGTTTTCACTCCATCTAGTGGGGGGACGCCTTACACTTCGCCTGCTGGTACGAGGCTGCCATTCGAGAACCTTTTTTCCCCATCTGTTATCGGTTCTTCGAGCTATCTGGCCGGCCCATTGCCACTATAGTTTACTTATCCATTGCATCTGCTTGGTATTGCATAATTAATAAAATTAATTCCAAACCCAAGCATACTATACGTGGTAGAGCCATGCTGCAGTTATATTAGTAGTATAGTTGTGGCACGAATGGGTCGGCTCGACCGGGAATGGACCACGCTCTCACAGAATATCAGCGTAAAATAGTAGCCTAATGCTGCTGTGTTTTGTATGGTGAGTGTAGAGAACATGAGACCCTTTTTGCTGGAAACGAGGCATTCCATCTTAGTCCTCACGGGTGACAACGCATATGCATTTTGATTCGTAATCGAGGATAGATGTAGATGTCTATGGGCCGCAGCAACCACTTACCATCAGGTGGACTGTATGCTCGTTTGTCACCCTATCCTGTAAAATAAAAAAAATAAAAAATAAAAATAAATACCATCGCATGACTTCAAGATACTGTAAGCTTGTTTGCGTAGATCGGATTAAGACTTCATATTTTAATTTGAAGGTAGATTTCGTTAATTATGATATCAGGATGTCTAACGCCTGAACCTTCCTTCTCCGTGACTCGAAAGTGGTGTGCTAAAGTGACGAAACGTAAGAATTAAAAAGTTTCAATTATACGCGATAAAATCCATAAGATTAGTTTTATTTAAAGGTTTTCTCTATATTTGTGAATCCGTGACATTACTACAATGGGCATGGGACCTCTTCGCGTAAATAACTTCTGAAAGTCCTGGAAAACATAATTTTTCTTACCCAGATATACAGAAGACATCTTCTTGGAAACGTTTTCGTCGATGTAGGTGACGCCGAGGGTGAAGAGCGGCGTGGCGCCAGCGCCGTGCAAGAGTTGGGCGAACACGAATACTCCCACCGCCCACGCACCACCCTCGGATGTGGAGTCCGAATCGCAGTGGTTCATAGACTGCGGAAAAATTGCAATTGTAGTAGTAATACGAGTAGGTTATAGAATTCCTCTTCTGCCCTGCTATGTTCTGGTCCCATATCATATTTCAGTATCTCATATGATGCTTCAGTCTTAATTGGTATATCTGAGAGGATTATACTAGTACTTAATCAATATACTAAACACTTTTTTGCATTTAGCTTTATTAAATTATTTTAAGACTACTAAAAACAAAAGAATATTTATAACGATAGAAATATTCTTTTGCTTTTACCAGAAATTTTTGATTCTTAATCGAGGATAAATGTAGATGTCTATGGGCCACAGCATCTACTTACCATCAGGTGGACTGTAATTTCGTTTGCCATTTTAGTTTTATAGACTTCTATATCAGGAGCCATAATAGCTCAAAGATTAGGCTTACGTCATTTACGCTTACGTTATTTTCTACTCTATTTCTACTTCATCAGCCGTTATAATGTACAGTTGGACATGGAATCCCATTATAAACAGTGTTTTCTCAATTGCCATCGCCATTTGGCGGATTGGCGCACCAGACGTATATTATATTATACGTGATAGAGCCATGTTGCAGCTATTATGGTTATAATATGAATGCGTTGGCTCGACCAGGGATGGAAAACGCTCTCACACAATACCAGCGTAAAATAGTAGGTGTTTCGTATGGTGAGTGTAAAGAACCGGAGACCCGTTTTACTGAAATCGAGGCATTCTATCTAAGTTCTTGAGGGTGACAACGCATCTGAATTTTGATTCGTAATCGAGGATAAATGTAGATATCCATGGGCCACAGCAACCATTTACCACCAGGTGGGCTGTGTGCTCGTTTGTCACCCTTATCCTATAAAAAAGATGTCTCGCTCCCTTGACGCTGCTTATCGTTCCCCGACTTGGTATTTTACGCCTATTTGTGATGGTAATACCACCACTTACCAGCTAAGTGATCTTTATTTACAGAAGTAAGGGTAACTAACGAGCACGCAATACACCTGATAAATGTATCCGACACTGAAATACATCTTTATTCTTGTAAGAATCAAAATTCAGATGCGTTGTCACCCCTGAGTGCTAAGGTGGAATGCTTCTTTTCCAGATAGGTTCCCGGGTTTCGTCAATTACCACGCAGCTATTTCACGCTGGTATTTTGTCTGTACATGGTATTTTATTTCCTCCAACATGCAATTTTCTTAACGATGTTTTCCTTCATCGCTGAACACTAGGTATGATGGCGCTTGAAATTTCAATTAATAATTTTATTGGTGCTGGCGGGACATTACAATATTGTAAAATAACAGTTTAATGCTGCTTTGTTTCGTATGGTGAGTGTAGAGAACCGGTGACACTTTTTACTGGAAAAAACGCATTCCATCTTAGTCCTCAGGGGTTAACAAAGCATTTGAATTCTTAATCGAGGATAGATGAAGATGTCTATTGTCCACTTAGTGTTTCACTTAACATTAGGTGGATTGTGTGCTCGTCAACTTTATTCTATAAAAAGACAATTTAAACGTATAAAAGGCGCGATCTCTCTTGATTAATAATGCGACGTAATGGAACCAGTTTAGAGAAGAGATCGGCGATGCCTACTTAATGTAAAGGTTTTTAACCTTGTGAGAAACAATCAATGAAATGCATTCGCTTCGCAAATAAATTCGCTACTGCCATAAAACTGGACTGATCGCGGTTACAGGGAATAAAGTTTTATATGCGTGCCTGGCATTTACTTCAATCAAATTGTTCATTAAATCATTAAGGATAACTCCACATTTAACGGAATGCAGACATTAAAAATAACCTAGAGCTTGAAATTAAAGACTGATGATGACAGCACATTCGCCCGCAAAACAGATACATGGCCTTCCACCATCTTATGCCATGAATCAAATTCAAAGATGAAAGCTCTTCTGTGGCTGCATTGAAGTTTTGTGGGCACAAGCAACTTGTGCTAAGTGTATACCCTTTTGTTATTCTCTTCATTATCTTGTATGTGAAGCAAGAATGATTTTTTTTAATCCTGGCCGAAATATTAACGCAAGCAAGGTCTGATCTGGCTATATGGTGATTTTTGTTGTGGACATTGAAGGACCCCGCACAACTTAAAGTGCCTTCCAGCAATAAGATAAAGATAAAGATATTTTATTTTGCAAATATGGGTACAGTACATGGTAATATAGGAAGTGAGTTCAGCCATATTTTACCAGTAGGCATGAAAAATATCTTAATATAAGTATATAAATCACGTTGTTCGTCCGCGATGGACTCCTAAACTACTCAACCGATTTTAATAAAATTTTCACACTGTGTGCAGTTTGGTCCAACTTGAGAGACAGGATAGTTTTATTAAATAGGACATATCAAAAGCACAGAAATATAAACTGATCACCTAAACAGCTATAACAAAATAAAATAATAACACAAAAACCAACATAATTAAAAAATTTTAACATTATACAGTCTTAATCTCAAAATAAAATAAAAAATTCAGTCAAGAATTCTATTACGCTATAGTATGCTTTGACTGACAAGAAGCTATGAAGCCTTTTTTTAAATATCGATAGCAGCAATTCTTTCCAACTTTTTTGGTATTTTATCATATACGACTGGAGCCATGCAGTATATACTTTTGCGCATTAGTGCTGTCTTAGCGGATTGTACACAAAAGGGTATTGTCGCGTCTATTACGTGGAACTACTTGCTCAAGGCGTTTAAAACGTTTTGGATGCAATTTAACAAACACAGCTACTTCCAGTATGTATAAACAAGGTAATATCAGTATTTTATACTCTTTAAAATATGGCATGCAACTGTTGGTAGTTTTAAGCTTAAACATCGCCCTTATGCATCTTTTTTGAGCCTTAAACGCCGTTTCTTTTTCGGTTGAGTTACCCCAAAATATTATTCCATATCGCAGGTGGGATTCTGCTAAGCCGTAGTAAGCAGTGAGGAGTGCATCCGTGTATACTATTGAAGACAAAATATGTAAAGCATATGCGGTTTTACTAATTTTCTTACATAAAGTATTAATGTGTGCTTTCCAGTTAAGATGTTTATCTATTTCGAGACCCATGAACTTTGTAATTTCAACTTCTTTTACAACATCATTATTGTAGTCTACATTTAGGCTCATGCTAGGAATCCGTGAAGATAATTTTTTTTATTTAGTATTTTTAAATTGTTTTCGTCTAACCAGTTCACAACAAATCTTAGGGAGTTATTAATGTCATTTTCATAGGTATCTCCACTTTTACGTGGTATTGTCACTGCAGTATGATCCGCAAACAGTATTACTGGTTGCTCAATGCATTTAGGCAAGTCACTGATGTACAATATAAATTTAAAAGAACCCAGCACACTCCCCTGTGGTACTCCAAATTTTACTTTAAATTTTTTTGATTGAAACCAACCATTACATCAGATTTGATAGACCACAAATCCTCGCGAAAGAACACCGATTCCTACCAAGGATGATACGTGAGGCTATTGAAATTAAAAAACATCCTAATTTCAATAGAGAAGGAGGCTGGGTACTACCACCTGCTTGGGATCCTATAATCAATAAAATTAAAACTAAACCCAAGCATACCACTGCAAGACCTCAGGACATAGTCAGTTCAGTTTTTGCATAGATCGGACCATAAACAATAATTAAAAAAGCTGAAGGTACTCCGGGTTTAACAATGACATCGGGACGTCAGTCATCACAGTCCCCCGTGACCATGGGTGCTAGGTGCATGGGAATTAAAAATAAAAGTAAATAAAAAGTAAAAATAAACGCGATAAAATCCGTAAAAGTAGTTTTAATCAAAATACACAAAAATAAATCGCGATCGCTAATTTCAAACATGTCAGACATCATGTCTAACTGAACACTCGGAATAGACTGGACACGTGCTGCTGCCATCTGCAGTCGGAATCGGAATCATGACTGCAGCGAAATGACGCCACGACATGTCACAGCGACATGTCGCGGCGACACGTCACCTGCTGCTGCTGCCTACAGTCGGCTACGGAATTACACCTTAAGGGACGACAACGCTGCTGCATGTAAATTCTTAATTGAGGAAGATGTGGACTATGTCTATGGGCCACTACATCTACTAATAATCAGGTGGACTCGTTTGTCATCCCTAATCATATAAATAAAATAATAAAACAGTTAAGAAACTCACAATAGTTCTGTTAGCTGTGCAGAGGTCTTCGGGCTCGTCTCCGGCGATTCTGTATGGTGGCACGAGAAAGTGTGGTAGCGCGAAGATCAGCGAGCCTGTGCCCATCAACAGTACGCCCCAGCCCAGCCAGCGTGGCTTGGAGGAGCCCATTCTGCCGCCCAGATACGTGACTGGCGCGAGGCACGCAAATGATGCCATGTCGTAGCTACAGAGGAAGAAAGCTTAGAGTTTTTAAGTAGTACGCACTCTCTAGATACACAGAAGCTTAGTAATGCATATTTATTTGGATATTGTCCACTACCCGACAAATGTGTCCACTAAGCACGATCCTGAGCCACTAGGTCGTCAATCGCTCCAGTGTGCCAGACGTTTTACTTCACCACTCCGGGGCTTTTCATAAATGGTAAAATGTCCGACGGCGTGGACTCTATACATAGTTTATTAGTGCATTAGTGCATTATATATAATGTATATATATATATATATATATATATATATATATATATAGCCGTTTAAGTAAATGTGATATAAGGCTTTGGTTCTTATTCTAAGCACGTGGTTATATTATTTATTCTAAGTCAGTAGTTCATGACCGGTGGTCCGTGGACCACTTCTGGTCCATGAAGGCATCCAGAGTAGTTCACAAAAGCATCATAAATTTCTCTCTTATAGAAGGGTGTACAACATTTTTGGAGATGATGGTAGGTTTGCGTGTACTATTATTTATCGGAAAAAACTTTAAAATCAAACCTAACATAACTTATATTAAACATAAAAGTTGGTGGGCCAAAAAAATTGAATAGTTATCATTAAAAGGTTAATAACAATGGTTCTTAACCTTTAAACAAAACCCAACCTTTGAAAAAAAACATACAAAGAAGAACGCTTGAACAATCAAAGAAAACATCTAAGGAAAATTCCTTAAGAAAAAGAGTACCAATAAATTATCGAAGATATATCAAAAATAAAAATAAAAGAAAAAATAAGCATACGAGGTAGTCGAGGTCTAAGCCTGGCCCAAACACATCGGTGGTTTAACAACATTTTCGAGTGCTAGAGCAGCAGAAATAAATTAAGGCAACGAGCAACTAGCCAGGTTCCGTAGAAGGCACAAGACATACCTCGAAACGTCAAATGTAAGTCGAATTATGTACCTTCTATAATGTAATACGCAGTTCTAGAAAAAGAAATGAAAGAGCAACGGGTCTAAATGATAGATTAGCAGCTGGAGCATCCAATGCTTTTTTGTGTAAGCATGTAGTGAGAAACGAACTTACAGCCCACCTGATGGTAAGTGGTTACTGCAGGCCATGGACATCTACAAACAACTTCGAAAAACGAAGGCTAAAAATGCGTCGTCACCTTTGAGGGCTAAGATGGAATGCCTCAAAGTCTTTAATTGTAGTGTGTCACTAAGCTAACGCTAATGATATCGATAACCAGTTGGTAAACGATAATAAATAGTTAGTTATACACTGTTGATAATTACCACGTTTATGCTTTAGGCCACGCATAAGGGCGACAAACGAGCACACAGTCCTCCTGATGGTAAGTGGATACTGTGGCCCATAGACATTTACATTAATCCTCGATTAAGAATCGAATCCAGATGTGTTGCCACCCCCGTTGTGTTTGTTGTATCGTGTTTGTGTTGTGTTTTGTGCTCGTTTGTCACCCTATCGTATAAAAAAATCAGATATTTATTTAAAAATGTAAAAAAAAACGTGGTAAACGTGGTTCTCTACAAATCAATTGTAATTAACTCGTTTAATTTAACCACGATACAATTGAAAATAATGTAATTTCTAGAAACAATACCTTATTTTCTTAAAAAACTATTAACTTATAGTGTACTGTGTGTAATACTTTTGTTATCGCAATAAATTAAAAGAAAATAATGGAATCATAAATTTCTAAGATGTATTCGTCATTCATTTTAAATTCGTAAACTTAAGAGTTGAACGTAATACAATATAAAACTGACTTAAACTAGAACTGTGTGTGTATCTAATATCGACCGGTGGGTTTTTTTTATGAGAGGTGGCAAACGAGCATACGGCTCACCTGATGGTAAGTGATCACCGCCGCCCATGAACAACTGCAACGGCAGGGGATTTGCAGATGCATTGCCGGTCTTTAAAAAAGAGTAGGCTCTTCTCTGTGAAGTCTTTTCAATTTTCTTGAAGAAAACTTCTTGTAAGTCGCACAGTAATGGACCGCAAATTATACAGTTGGTAAGGATTGTGTCTCTAGTTCTGTCGCGATGTGCGATAGTGAAATTGAAAGACTGAGGCTGGAATTAGTCCAAACAATGCCTACGAGCACTCCCCGCGGCAAATATTATAGAATACGCAAAGAGATGCAACATCTCATCGCAGCGTCAGCGAGTAAAGTCAAGTGCCGTAGAAAACTAAGAGTTGGGCGGCACCGTCTTTCTAACAACTAGAAACTAAGTAATGGCGTTTGCCAACCCGGCTGCCAAGCGTGGCAACTACGACAAATAGTATAAAGTACATTTATTTTAGTCATTTATCTGTCCTGCATTGTGACACCTTATAACTAAGTAACAATGGGCGGACCTAATGCCTTTCGGCATTCTCTGCCAATCCACTCGTAGCGTGGTGGGCTATTAAAAATGTCCTCCAGACCGGATTTTGGTCACGGCGGCCAGTCTCAACGGAGACTAGCCATCGATGCAGGACAGGATTATAGTGCCCAAGTGTATGCGCAAGCACAGGTGCACTATCTATTCACTCACTCTCATAATCCGATGGGACGGTAAACCGACACGACCGGAAAGAGATCAGACGCAGGACCAACGGCTTTTCGTGCTTTCCGAGGCACGGGGAGGAGACACCACCAACTTCCAGACTCCGGGCAGCTACTGAGAATTTCTTGACGCAAAAACTCAATAATTCATTTTTTGGCCCGACCCGGGATCCGAACCCAGGACCTCATGATCGCAGTCGCACTACTACAACCACTAGACTAACGAGTCAGTCAGTGGGCTATTATAGTAGTAGTAGTAGTAGGTGTAAACTTACTTTATAATCTTTGCAAAAATTAAATAAAATATTTGTATACCAATGTGTATCTAGTATATGATACTCACATTCTAAGGGGAGGTCCTACATTCAGTAGTGTATTATGATAGTCTTGAAGGGATGAAATGAATATAGAATATGGAATAAAACATGGTTGTTTAGGTGCTGAGCGTATATGTTAAATTTCATACTTCGCAAGTAACACAAAATTTGTCATACGCAAAGTTCAAAAATTTTATCAAACTAAAATAAAAAGGGTTATTATAATATTGTATGTATGTATGTATGTATATATATTCTATTATATATTATATATGTATATATATGTATGTATATAATATCTATGTATTGTTTATTACATATATTACTATTTCTTTTATCCTCTCTATTTGATTATTGCTGCACCGCCTCCATAATGTCTATCTCTGTTTAGCCTAATGGTTGACTGGGAGAGAATGCCCTATGGCATTAAGTCCGCCATATGTACTTTTTTTGTGCATGAAAGTATAAATAAATAAATAAATAAATAAATAATATTTAGGAATTTATGGATGATAATAATTCCTGGGAAGAGTGATCGCTACCAAGCTATTTCGAATTTGTCTTGTGTTGTTAATTGTAAATATGATTGTAAGCTATTATTTGGAAAAAAAATAGTCCCGCTGGGTTTCTTGCTGGTTCTTCCCAGGTCAGAGGTTTTTTTGCGAACCAGTGGTAAATGAAAAATTGACTTTCAATAAGTATTGTTTATAATCTACATTGAATAAATAAGTTTCTGTTTCTAACTTGAGTGTATCTCCGTCGACTCCACTTAAATTTTTCAAAGTAGTTTTAAGAGTTGATTAACGTACGGTTATGTTAATCAACTCTTAAAACGGATTAAAAAAGGGTTAGAAAAAGTCATTGTGAAGAAACCTGCATTCCTGAGAAGTATTCCCAATTTACATTGGAGGCACAAACTTTTTTACTCCACCTGTTATTTCAAGCTTGTATCAAAAACAAAAAGAGTGCAAGCCTATTTTCAGCTAAATGGTAGAGCTACGATGAAGCTATATTATGGTTGTAACACGAAAGGATCGCCTCGACCGGGAAAGGATCACGCCCTTGCAGAATACCAAGGATAAATTAGCAGCTCAATACTGTGTTTCGTATGGTGAGTGTAGAGAACCGAAGACCTTTTTTATTGGAAACGAGACATTTGATCTTAGTCCTCAGGGGTGACAACGCCTCTGCATTTTGATTCTTAACCGAGAATAGATGTGTATGTCTATGGGCCACAGCATCTACTTATCATCAAGTGTACTGTATGCTCGTTTTTCACCCCATCCGTATTCCATAAAAAATATTTGCTTAATCTTATGAAAAAAGAACAAAATTACGTCGTATTACTTGCTACACTTACCCTCCAGCAACAACGCCCGTCTGCATTGAACGGAGACCAAACCGCTTCTCTATTGTAGTGATTACCACGTTTACGAACCCATTAACCACCATACCTGGTAACAAAAAGTTAAAATGAAGAGTTACGTTATAATTTTTGTCGAACTCTTTCAGTTAGCAGTTTTAATAAAGTTACCAGTAACTTTATTAAATCCAAAGTCAAAAAGAAGATAAGGATTTGAATTTATGTTTACCGTTACAGCCTACTAACGTCCACTGCTGAAGCTAGGCCTCCCCCATAGATTGCCTCATAGGGGGGATATTTGCCATAGTTGCCACACTTGGCAAGCGGGTTGGCAGCCGCGTTTTATTTTTAGTAATTATTAGGATGACGCTGCTGCCAAAGATTCCCGTAAAAATATTGATCAAAGGATCCCCGTGAAAATTTGTATAATACAAGCATGATGTCTGCCTGGTCTAGCTCGTGTCATATATAGCAGTATCTACAAATTATTTATTTATTTATTTAACAATTTATGTACACACGAAGTAATGTTACGATGAAAAATAAAAAGATATTTTGTACAAAGGCACTGCTTATTTCATATTGAAATTTCTTCCAGCAGGCCCGATAGTGGACAGATTCAAAGAGAAGCAGATTTAGTGTGCACCCTCATAATAAATTTAATAATATTAATATACTTAATATAAAATAAAGATAATAAAAACATATACATACATCCATACATACAGACATGCATATACCTAAATACTACACTATATACATATGTAAATAAAATACAAGTAGATGCACATATATATATACAAGTCAAACATTAGATCATTGGGACGACAAAGAAAGATAGTGCTCTTTAACTCGCCTTTTAAACACTGAAACTGTTTGAGCCTCTCGAATTGCAGCAGGAAGAGAATTCCATAACCATAAAAAAATTTATGATATTTTTCGACGTAATGCTGATCTTGGTCGGCTTTTTGTTGTTTTAATTTAAAATGCATTGAAGAAAATGTGAAGGGTGGAGTGTGGGGTGGAGGAAAGGAAAGAGGGAGACAAAAAGAACAGAAGAGCTCATGACACATATGAAACACTTATTCGACATGACTGATTTTGTTTCAAAATAGAACTTCATCACAAGCCTACTTCAATTTAATTTAGCATATTCACAAATAGATGGCGCTGTACATACACTTTAATAACTTGTATAAATAAAATATTAATTGAATTTAAATTGCGAAAGGCCTGACAACGTAAAAGCAAAATATCAGGTAGCAATAAAGTCCGGTTAAATGGCAAGCAGGTTTTACGTAAAGAGTAAAAATAACCAGTTTCTATTAAAGTTTCATGTGCACTGACTGGACGGATAGACAGACAGACCGCTATACTGAAATAGACGAGTGCACGACGCTTTTCCATTAATCCCGATTCATTGGTCAGTCGAAATATATGCAGACTTATAAAAGGTTGTAGCTCCAATCAAAAATACTAATTCTTTTTACGTTTCAACATTTTCTGAGTCTGCTGTATACCTCGAGTAGATGTTTAAAAATTTTGAAATAATTTGGTGCTCCATCAAAACTCAAATAAGAATTCAGCTGAAATTAATTAATTTCAATGTTAAAATGAATTAGCTATAATACACGTTGAATGAAATGCGTCCACAATTAATTTCACCACCACTATCTCCAATATTAGAGATCTTGTTCTATTACTTAAACCTCTCTAAGTATAGGGTCAAAAAATAAGACTCAAGAGGCAATAGGCGCTACTCTTAGCGAACGACCTTGAGTGTTCGGTCCTATTACATGTCACGCGCTCTCGCTACAATATATCGCGTAAGAAATACCCCCAAATTTTAAAATGTTTTGTTTATAAATTAATTATGATTATAAAATAATAAATTTATATGAAAATAAAAATGAACCAGAAAATTAAATAGATCAAAATGTTCATTAATAAATTGCCTATCCATTAGTGTCAATCGCAAAATACAATAATCCTATACCTTTAAACAAGCAATTCTTGTTATATATATATATATATATATATATATATATATATATATATATATATATATATATATAATCGGAATCTCGGAAACGGCTCCAACGATTTTCATAAAATTTTGTGTGCAGGGAGTTTCGGGGGCAATAAATCGATCTAGCTAGGATTTATTTTTAGAAAATGTCTTTTTGTCCGTGTTTTTAGGCAATGAAAAACTGCTACAATATCGTTAGAATAAGAAGGTAAATTTTGACATTTTATTAATGATTACAAATAGCTTTATTGGTATATTGGGCGGTCACAAAATCGTAATACCATGGTTCGAGCCCAGACCGACCGACCGACTTTTTTTAATTATCTTTTCAAGTTCCTTTCTTTTTTTGAGAAAATCTATTTTTTCGTGCCCTTTTTTAGTATTTTTTAAAAACACGAAAATTTAATTTAAACTAATTGCACTCATGATTTTTTATACAAATAACCAGTTCAGTTTTTTCTATTATGTCGCTAAGATCAAAAAATATTATCGTATTTCATCAGTATGTAATTTGTATCTAAATATAATTTCCAAAACACACGAATTAAAAAAAAACCGAGCGAAAAATATCGAGCAAAGCTCGGTCAACCGGGTACTGCTTACTTTATGAGAAGATGCATGTTATCAAAAATTATTTCGCATTTCTGTGATTTAGTTGTAAGGAGATTCATCAAGTATTTCCTCCTTTAAAAAAAATTGGAATTATTAAAAAATGGCATTATGGAATGAAGATTATCCAGAAATTTAATAGATTTTTTATTAGTTGATATATCTGTTTAATAACAGGTAAACAGCTCCTAAAAACCTCACAAATAACGACTAGCGCGGCATTTTGCCCAAACACGCACCTTAATAAAAAATAAAAGCAGACTTTAAATAATTAATTCGAATAAAATAATTTACACATAATAGTTTATGAAGCCGGACTTTAATTTCTCGATACTACATGTACCAAAAACTCTGTGTGGTTCTCGTAAGTGCGTTATCAGAATCAATATTCAAACGTATAGAAATTTTTACTTCAGAAAACTCGACTATAAAAGAATTAAATATTTTTTTATCTGCAAATTGTATGTGATTTTATTACCATTAGGGTGACAAACAGCACACAGTCCATCTGATGGTAAGTTAATGCTGTGGTCCATAGACATCTATATTTATCTTATATTATAAAATAAAATGCAGATCCGGTTTCATCCATGAGGACTGCGACGGAATCCCTCTTTTCCAGTAAAAATGGTATCCGGTTCTCTACACTCACGATACGGAAAAGCAGCAGCATTGAGCTGCTACGAACATAATATAACTGCAGAATGGCTCTACCGCTTAACTCTACATCTATAATACGTTTTATTATCAGATACTATGTCTTAGCACCGATCTATGGAGCTTTTACGTGGAAATAATTTTATTCTTTCTAGTTCTTTAAAGTTGAATTCAACTTCTTATTAAGAGTCAAACGTTATCAGCACGCTTCTAAAAATAATAACTTTAAGGATTTGGAGAGTTAGTATTTATTATCAAATAATAAAAACATATCAGTTTACATTTAGAAAAGAAATTACTATATAATAATCCTTCACCGTCGCAAAGTTGAACCATAAGTAGGGAAAGTACCGGACCTTTTATTGCAAGCTCTTGCAACCACCTGTAGAGAAACTTATTTAAAGAACTTTTTCATACAGCGTACTTCCATGGGTATTCACTGTGTGATATTAACTTTAAAATACTTTTCGTATTCATCCACCTGAGTACTTACTCTTGTGATCTTTTTTAAAGTGAAGAGAATGATGAACGTTTGATACAGTAATGAATAAACTCCTTATTTAATTTGTTATTTATTAGACTTCATAAAAGGAGAAGTACTTCATAATATTTATCGTTACCTTCTATTAAAGTCCACTATTGAACATAGACTTCCCCATAGATTGCCTCACAGGGGGAATATTTGCCATAGATGCCACGATTGGCAAGTGGGTTGGCAACAGCAGTTTTTTTGAAGTGAAAACTTCTTTAGCGGCGTTGTACTTTTTTTATAATGTATAAAAAATGTTAAACTCGCGTCAGGACACGTGACCTGATCGAAAATTCGTAAGAGTATGGAGAGTAGGTGAACAGCCGGCGCGGCGTAGGAGAAGATAAACTTTTTAATGTGATGTAAATTGTCATGTTTGTGTACGATAGCGCAATAAATAAATATTGTATTCTACCACATAAATGATAGTACTTTTATACTGATAATTAAAGCAATTCTTGCAAAATTATTCCCTAACTATTCCAAAATATCAAAAATGCATAACGTTAATATTCAAGTTTTCTTCTGCCGGCACTCCCGGAGTGCAACCCGTCGTTTTTTTTTATTTATAGTCGTTATTAGGAAAACACTGCTGACCTTTTACGCGTGATATAAATTATAGTAAGGTTGATTTTTATGTTTTTTCTTTAAATAAAACTCACCCAAAATTAACGTGTGACATAATTGTGGGCCCTAATTTTAATGCGAAGTCAATGTAGTCAAAGTAGTATTCACAAATCGACCATCATCTCCAAAAATATTGTACACTCTCTTGTTTTAGAGAGAAATGTACGTATGATGTTTTTGCTGATCACTGTATTTCTTTATGGACCACCGGTTGAAAACCACCGATATAGGCAGGCAGACATAATATTCCATGACACTTATGCTCTCTTTAAAAAAAAACTCAGTGAGTCCTCATTTACATTGAAAAAAATATGTATATTCTGTTTTTCTTTCTACCTCCTCAATGTTTACATGTATCTGTTGGTGAATATTATATACACTTATTATTGATATAATATATATTTAATAAGTAGTAATTATATATTTCATCAGTAAGCGTGTTAATTTTCATATAATGTAGTGTGTTAATTTGTAAGTGTGCTTACGAAATAAATAAAATAAATAAATAAATGAATCTAATAGAGATATCGTTTACTCAACGTCCTATACAGGGTTATTTTGCAATTTCCTGCCAAGAAGGTACAGAATAAGTAATAGATACTTATAAGCAAATGGTGATGAAAAATTAATTAAAAAAATC